TCTTTCACTCTACAGTCAGGCCTTTCTTAACTGTGTCAGTTAATTAATTTGACTTCTCCTAACCAAATATCTTGGCAATACAGAATTATGGTACACTGGCCCTGCTTTTCTGTCTGGGCTTTTGATTCCCTAATAAGCTACCTGTCTAGATATTTTCCAGAATGCACATGTACTATTGTTTTGCATGTTTATTCAGAAAGAGTCCACGCTGCTATGCGAACCCAAACCGTGTTATAACAAGTTAGGATAACTATACCTCTTAATTGCTCACAAAACCACAACTGAAGATGTAACAGATGGACTTCAAGAGAGCAGAGGCTTCTCAATTAGTCCACAGAAATCACAGAATAATAGAGCTGGGAGTGACCGCAGAAGACCATCTAGTCCAGCTCCTTGCCAAAGGCAATATCATCTTTGACTAAAGCATCCCAGTCAAGTGTTTGTCTAATTTGCTCTTAAAAGCACCCAAGGATAGATGTTCTACAAACTCGTTTAGTTGGCTTGCTCCAATGCTCAGCCTCCCTCATGTGAGAAAGTTCTTCCTAATCTCCACCCCCATTTCCCTAGCTGCAATTTAAGACTATTGCTCCTTATCCTGTTCCCTGTGGTCACAAAGGTTGTCTATCTCCATCCTGTCAAATGCTGCAAGCTGATGAAGGGTACTAGAGGAAGGTATTTAGCTAGAACGTTCCATTAAGAACTCCACCAGGGCTTTTCTTGGTGGAAAGTCCTACCTACTCTTAAGAATTTACCCAACAGAAGATAAAACCATTTGCTCTTTAAATCAAGATGGGCAGCTGCAAAACTGAAAAATGTTAATTTCACTTCAAAGTTGCTTGGGAAAGCCTACTAGGTGGAAAAAGTGCATGACTAACAGAAACTGGAGAAAGTAGCAAACATGACCCATTATATTCCACCTGCCTTAAAATCAGAAGGTTAGCATTGTTGAGTAAACTAAGAAAAGAGCCTCCTCATCTCCAGTTAATAGCCTCATGGAAAATGAAGAGGACACTGTACTTCTCTTGCAGAAAGCAAGGCTCTAAATTCAAGTACTGACTAGCCAGAGGCCAAAAAAATAAATACAAGATGGTTCATCCAGAAGAAGTTCCAAAAACAGCAACCCAGAAGTAATCCCATTACTTGATCCCTTCCTAACAGCTGACATTAGTGCCCTGATTAAAACAGCTGACACCTGTTTGGAGCTTCCTCACTTTGACTCAACCCTTATCCATCAGGTATCTGGGTAAGCCTGCCTGTTTACATACATACATGGCAGGAACTATCCTGTAATGGAAGAGACCGATAACCCAAACAAGATCCTTTGTTTCTATAAATTATAGATACTACCAAAAATATAGTATGGAAATCAAAATAAGGGGAAAAAAGGTGCTCCTGCTTCGACAAATTCATTAGAACATATGTATTACTTATAAATCGCCATTACCTCTTTGTAGTAATTTTTCTGCCATTAACTATTTTAGTAGAAGTTGATACTGATTTGAAGTTACCCATCCCACTGCCACCAAATGACGTCGAGGAGAATGAAGTAAGGCCGCCATGGCCCAATGAACCAAATGAAGTAAAACCTGTTGGCAATAAAAGTTGACATGAAACTTATTGACCAAATTAGTTTAAAAAGACCCCACTTACTTTCAGTAGGCAAAAGCTTCATATTGTAGTTTTCAACAATGGGTCAAATAAGACAATTATTTCCTCTTTGACAGATTATTAGGATACTTTCTTAAATTGGTTGGCTGGAGGCAGTTTTAATTGTAATAAAATTAGCTCCCCTTCTAAAATTTGGGTTATTGGTGCCAGAAAAGTTGAGTACTGACTACTCACTGAATTCAATTTAAAGTATCAAAACTAAGCAGTAATGCTTAAGCTAGGCACCCAAGAATGCACACATCTAAAAATCAGATATGTTGTGAAAATGAACCACACTGTTAAGGTGGGTAGATAAATAACTATTTTTAGTACCTCAGTTTCTGTAAAGATTAACACAGATCAATTTTTCATTTTCATAACTGCACTCTAACTTTTCATGAATTTTTGTATGCATCTAATATTACTTTAACATTACAGCTCCGTTTACAGCAAAAGTTAGACCCCTTTGGCACCAGTACAACTTTCAGCTTAAAGTCTGCTTCAAATATTTACCTGTATCAAATGAAGGAAAGCCACTTCCAAATGCAGGAAAACCACTAAATGTAGAAAAAAATGATCCACCACCTCGGTTTCTGCTTCCACGTGGACCTCTTCTGTTCCCAAAGAAGTCCTCAAAAGGATCTTCTATAAACAAACAAACAAAAAAATAGTCTTAGATTTTTTTTATTTTTTTTTAAAGGATCTTCATTATTTCTGTAGGAACTATATTTAAAAATGAAAATTTCCTTTAAAGAAACTTCCTGTTTAGAGAGGGGTTCTAGAATTTTCCAGTGAAGCATATGGTTGTGACTCAGTCAGAAAAAACCTACCGGAGTAAAAGAAATATTATAGGGGTGCTAACCGCTAGCCTGCAGGCCAAATGTAGCCTGTGGAGCCTTGAAATGCAGTCTGCAGGGCTCCCCACAGGTCATAACATTTGGCAGCAGGGGAATAGTGACAATACTGCCACTCCTCCCCACCGCCAAAATCTTAAGTCCTGCGGGACAGGTAGGAACTGGGTCACAGCCATCCCCCAGCACAGCCAGATCAGGACCAAGCCATGCCCCCTTATCCAACTGAGGCTGGGTTGACACCGAGTTGAGCCCCCTTGTCATTGTGGGGCTAGACAAATGATCACATCAAAATTTGTATCTAGCAGTAATTTTCCACAGCAAAACATACTGTTAGCATACTGATACGTTAAAAAAGGCTCTGAAAATTCAGAATTACCATTTCTAGTATAATAGATTTTTATAGAACTATTATGTACCACTGACAATATTTTACAACACGAGTTAGTTACACAAAGACAATAATTTTGGACATGCTGGGGTGGTGACCTGTTGAGCACTGTTGAAAGTATTGTGTTGCAAAACTGACTTATTCTTCAACACATGGTTTTCCAACATGTTTGTGATGACCCTCATTTTGGGTTTGTTTTTTTAATTCTGTAACTAAAACAGCCTAAAACTCACCCTTTTATCTTAATTAAAATGTAAAGCGTTCAGAGTAAAAATTCCTTGTGCACCTTACAGCATCTCCAAAGTGAGGAAGAACCAGACTTGCATTCCTAATCGTTTTAAAACACATAAGATTTTCTTCATCAAGATCTTTTCAGGATTTTCCACCAAATCTCAAAAAAGGTACAACAACATCAATTTACCAAAAATAAATCCTTAAAGGAAATCTTTAATGCAGAAGGCACATTAGCAAATCTACAAACCAATGTGTGTCATGGAAGTGACAAAGTGAATTCACAACCAGAACTGAATTTCTCCAAGAAAACATTACACACAGAGTAGTGCATGAGACTCTGCTTTTCAGTTTGGCACACTGAACTAGCAAGCAAAGCCATTTCAGTTAGCAGGATAGTCCAATATATTCCTGCTAGTTACAGAATGACTCATGAGTGAGTTATGAAGGTCATTCACTCATGTGTAGAAGCAATCTATATTATATTACTGCCCACTGTTATGCTTTCTATTTATAGTCCATTTTTTCTTTAGTTACCTGGTGTTAAAAATAAAACAAAAAAAATTATGCATAACCTAGCTCTGACCTTATAATCCACTGCAATTGCCAGTACAAATTGCCTGCGCCAGGGTCAAAACCCCCTACCTCTACCACAACAGTAACCAAAGTTTAGAGACATTCAATTAAGCGAGGCATAGGAAGCCCCCAGGCCCTCAAGGAGCATTCAGTCTCCCAGAGTCACTTCTCAAATGATACTGCTCAATAATAATGAGATCTTCATTGCACAGTTAAAGACTCTAGGAGTTTTATAACCAAACACCTCACCATTCCTACACACACAAAACCTTGTCCCAAATTTCAAGTGCTGGAGTACCCTTTATGGTTGGGACAAGAGTCAGTGTTTCACTTCAACTCCAGCAGGAAGGCCTACACATTGCAGTGAGGACAGGTAAATTAAATGAGTCTTATTCTAAAAAAGTAAGTTCTCCAAGACTAATGTGCCTCCAGTCCTTCAAAAAGGCCTGGGATAAAATCTATGCCAGTCATATTTGTATTAAGTGTTTTCAGTGATGAGAGAAAGGAAGGCTAAATACAACTCTGGATGCTATCCCAACACCAACATGACATACATTGTCAGAACTAGCTGCAAATTGTTAGTTAATATACCAAATCTCAACCCATGTCTGTTTTAGGAATTTTTACATTTTGCTCTTGTTGTCAGTATAGATCACCAGAAGGCTCAGCCTCATTTCTTCCATTGATTCCCTGGATCTTGAAGTACAGCAGACTTATCACACTACCAGTCATGTATACCAGTGGCACCCAACCTTCTGGCCCTGCCACGCTCCAGCACAATCTTACATACAGGACCATATAAATCAGCCTGCAGGGCTCCCTATGGGTCCAAAAATTTGGCAGCAAGGGAGTGGCAATTTATGCTGCCACCACTCCCCCACCACCAAATTTCCAGATCCTTGGAGAGCCCCACAGACCAGGTGGTATAGCTCCACAAGCCAGATCTGGCCTGCAGGCCCAAGTTGAACACTCTTGGCTTACATGATCAATCAAGTTGGTAGCTCATTTTTGGATTAATAATGAATTAACCATTTTATTTTCCACAGATTAATGTGCCAAGTCTCACAGAATTATCATGGTCTTTGAAATGTTTTCTGGTGGCATAATACCAACCACAACCCTACAAATCTCTCTAAATGATGCCTTTTCCTACCTAATAAAGGATATTTAAACCTGCACCCTTTCAAAACCTGAAAGATCTTCACCTCTTTTACATAAAGAAGTTAACTGTTTACAAGCCAGATTAATTTGCTGATACAGTTAAAGTGCTCTCCTTCTCACTCACTCATTTGAAGGAGAACTAAACACTTTAAATGATTAAAAATAAAAGTTTAATTTTCCAAACTAACAAAAAAATCCTCTGCACAAACTCCTCGTGCAGGCTCTTCCTCAACCACCACTTCCTCAGATTCTCCACTACCTTCCTCCTTCAAATCCTCTGATCTTCTAATAGACTCCACTATCCACTCTTACGATACCATGCTCAAGTCATCTTCTGGTATTCCCTGAGATTCTTCCTCCAGATCCTCTAACAATCCTCCAGTACAGTATTCCTCCAGCTCTTCTTCTAATTCCGCTGATTTGTCACTGTATTCTTCTTTCAACTCCTGCTCTATTTCCTCTGCTGACTCTCCACTGGACTCTCCCTCCAATGCCTCCTCTAATGATCCTCCTTCTACCTCCAGCTCCTCCACAAACCCCACCTCTGACTCTGTATCAGAAGAATCCTCATGGTAATATCAGTAACAGTGTTATAGATCTTAAAAAAATAAAAGTATATATAGATCACATTTCCTTTCTACTACTTAATTCCTATAAATGCAAATGCCCACCTAAAAAAAGAGACCCAGAAAACTTTTATACTCCAACAGTTTAGTAATAGCAACCAAAGTTTTATGCTTTTACAGTGAAATGGAACAGCCTGACTGCTGGGGTAGTACACAGTCTGGTTTTTAGGCACTTTATTCCATATTCCCAGTAGTTCAGACAAATCCATATCTCAGTCAAAAGGTAGCATTATTTTACTGTCTCATTTATAAATCTGTTTGGCAGCCCTTATCCAGCTCCTCTTCAGCTTGACACCCTTCAGTGGAAGGGAGTGTTTTTCTACCTAGAGTTGACACAGGAAAAAAAAAAAAAAAATCTATTGAGCAACTGAGGGGTGCTAACTTGTGAACAGGAAATTAAGAACACCAACTCTTCCTCCCTCTCATAAGCCCTCATTTTCTCCTTCAGGTCAGCAAGGCTCATATTCAAACTAATCAGAATTTGTGCTTTCAGTATGAACATTTGGGAAGTATCAGAAACCCAGCTTCTTCTTTTCCTAGGATTCATTCACCTTCCTCTTTTAAATCACTTTCCTATGAAGTAGGAGAAAAAAAATGGGCTGCAGTTAAAAGCTGCAAAAGAAAGATGTTAGGTACACATTTTTTTCTATAGAAAACATCCCAGCTCTTGAAGTAAATTCATGAAATCAATCTCCCACACCTCTGAACAGCCTTACAACAAAGCAGGTTTTTTGCTCTTATGTGAGATATGAGTATCTGGGATCTGGTTCCCCCCACCTCTTTCTCCCTTTCATCTTCCTCTTACTCCAAAGCATGTTACAAGAACCTTGAAAGACACAAGAAACTCATGTACCTTGCCCATTCTAAGGACACACTGCAGATCATAAGAGCCTTTTATGAGTTGGTCAGAGCATAAATACCTCTTCAGATCTATGACTTGAACAGAAAGCTTCTCTTATTTCTTGTCTTTTTTTCTTTTTTTTTCAGTTGCAACTATTTCTAGAGTTCTTTTAGAAAGCCTCAAAAAGTAAGAGGCCTGAATATAAGATGTTTTCCTCTCTTATGGGATCTGAAGGCAGCTGTACTAGCACAAATTTTGCAGCAATTTGCTATACTGCCAATCAGCAGGCAGAATCACAAGCCAGCAGCTCATTAACACCAACGAAAAAGTTTTTTATACTGTTTTGCTGGACAAATTGTTTTCTTTAACTTCATTATGTCCACAGGCTGTGAGAGTTAATTAAAATGGTTTGAGCTCATTTCTCTTTCTTTTGTCAATTAGATGGCATGAGACTTAGAGAAGCAGAGTCTAAACCTCATACAGTGTAGCTTATATTTAGCTACAATAACAATTCTCTGTGCAATACAAACTTCCAGTGTGGAAGCAATTCCAAAATATTCTGCCTTATTTCAGAAGACATCAAAACCATTAATAAATACTCACCGCTAGAGGTGACAAGGTCAGCAGAAGATTAAGTTCAGAGCAGAGATAGAATTTTAATATCTGCAGTTTGATTTTCATTCCCTGTTTTATAGAACATAATGCAAACCTTGCTTTGATGTTTTTAAAAAACAAAAAAAGGCTTCAAGAAAGAGTAAAAGCTGACAAACAAAACCTATTGTACAAGATCAAAAGCAAAGGGGAAGGAGGCACAAGTTAAAAGTGGATACATTTTAAAATGTACCCAGGACTACTATCAGTCTATTACAGAGCTCCACCCCGGCAAAAAGTCAAATACTTTTAACTGGTTATATAAAAGCAGTTTTAGCGATTACTTTAGTACTTACACACAGCTAAAAAGCAGTTGACCACTCACCAAAAAAATCAAATGAAAATGGGTCCCTTCCACCAAAAAACTCCCTAAAGACATCTTCTGGGTTACGGAATGTAAAGCCAAATTCAAAGGGATTTTCAAAATGACTTCCACCTGAAGAAAAAAAAAAAAAAGAGTAACATTATTTCAGAACATCTCATATTAAGCACTGAATTTGCATGCCTATCTTGTAATATTGCTCCTATGTTTTTTACAAACTTGAATTGGATTGTTTTTATCTCTCTATTCTAAATGCCTCACAGGACAAATACTTAAATATATTTAACATAAGTAATTGACAAAATATCCTGTAATCTATAAATGCACTATTGTAACTATAATTATTCTATTTTTCCCTTCTTGTACAACAATTATCCAATAAGCAAACTCTACAAGCAGAAAAGTAGTTTCAACATCTTTCTATCATCTCAGATGTCCCCATAGTTGAACTGTTAAAGTAGTTTCCAGACCATTATGTATTAGCTTATAAACTGTTATATCCCTAATAGTGAGATAATGGATATAAAAGGCACACGTTGATTCTTTTAGTATAACCCTATTCCCACATACTTTTAAATTTTATCTTAAACTAATTTTAGTTCTTGGTGCAAAATATTTCAAATGCTTGCCTTAAAGGAGTCTGCCTTACATAACAGTTGTTTGCTTACATACAAAGAATTTGCCTACATACCTCCACCTCCATTTATTAAGCCTTCTTTTCCATACTTGTCATAGATCTCACGTTTTTTAGCTACAAAGAGAAAGTTATACAGTTGAGTTACATATTGTATTTATACTACTTCCAAATATAGCATTGTTGTTCTCGATTGAATTCCATCCCAAAGTTAATTTAAGTTGTATTTGTCATATAAAATGAAGTATTTTGGAGGACCAAAGCAGAATAAATGCAACAAGAATTCCTAAATCTCAAGTTAAATGTCTAATTTAGTCGTAGTAGAAACAAGCAGCAGTCCAGTTCATCCTGCTTTTCATAGGTCAATTCTCATGTTGAAATGCAAGTTTTGTTTTGTTTTTTAATTAAGTAGAAAGGAAGCCAAGGTTTTCACATTTACACCTTTAACAAGATAGCAAAACAAGTAAAACTATATCAGTGTTTTATAATCAGACTAAAAAGAAACCTTATCATAGGATAAGCAGTTATTGCTAGAAGTAGGGTTGTGACAGTGGGGTGGGACAATTAGTGAAAAACAGATTAGTTCTGCGTTAAGTAGCTGATCCAAATCAGTGGCTTCCTCAAATTTTATGTATCAATAAATATTGGGCATGCAACTCCATTGTTTGTAGTCCCTCCTGAACCCAAGCCAGGGTTTGGTTGGAACAAGAAGAAATGCACATTACAGACATTCAGACAAAACTGTAGTTAAGACAGTCAACCTGACCAGGTCTGTGAGGCCTCATTCCTCACTCACCTCAAAGGTATTACACTTTGGAAGTACAAGCAAGTCTCTGGCTTGAGAATCTGATCCATCAAACACTTTCTAGTCTGATCCAATGTCCACTGGAATCTTTCCATCGGGGAAATGGACTGACACTAAGATCATGCTTAAGACCACTGCTTATTCTTTTTCCCAAAGAATGAGCAATCATCTTCAACAGTTAACATTTAGGTACTCCGATTTAAAGAAGCTGAATGTTTTTTCTATGTGCACACAACATTCAGAAACTTCAACTGATTAAGAAAAGTTTTGTCTGACAAGTCTGTTACCTCATCAATTTAAGTACTTCATAAATTAGTATACTGCCTTTCTAAGGGCCAATGAAACATGGTGAACTGTTGGTAAAAAAAAGACAGCAGGCAAGAGAGAGGAGTCCTGCAGGTCAGATAGCAGAACAGAAAAGTCTATTTTGAGAATTTAATTTGTTCTTGAACTACAGGGAAACAGTGTCTTATGACTATACAAGTCAATCATTCTTTGCACAAATAATGCTCCACACAGCTATTCTTCTGCCAAAAATCCACCCAGCCTGTTACCAAATTACCAGCTGTAGAGCCCTGATTTTTCAAAGACATTTCCAAAGTGAAAAGGGGTGTTCGCTAGGGCTGTGCAAAGCTTTGGCAGCCAATCTGATTCAGAGGAGATTCAGCCTGATTCAGTGACAATCTCCAAATCAGAATTGAATCGGGAGACCTACTAAAATGTCAGAATCAAATCGGAAGCCTCCGAATCAATTTGGAAAAGATTTGGCGCCGCTTCGGAGATTCGGCCATAGACTAAACAGACAGCAGTCCTCACCATGCTGGACACAGCTGCCTGTGGGGGGCAGAGGAAAGGGGAACTGGAAAGGGAGGGACTGGGTCTGGGGTGAGCTGCCCAGCTGGGGTGGGAGGATGGGGGTGGGAGGGGA